GTTCGTTGTTTTGTTGCGTTCCATTTTCAGGTTTAACCTTACTTTGTTTTTCTAATTTCCAGCTGCCTTTAGATGTCTTCTAAGCCTTGGTATTTCTTTTAAAAGTTCATCTTCTGATAACTCATCCTAGAAAGAGTTTTGGAATGGACACCAAGTACTTTTCTTCACTAGCTGATAGAAGACTCTGGGTTGAACCCCCCCCCCCCCCACATATATCTGCTACTTCCTTGATCGCTGATATTCTGATCTGGAGTTCAGTGACACCAATCCTAGCTACGCTACTGCAGCCTCCCCTAATATTTTCTTCTCACAGAAAGAGTCCTGCATCTATTAATTGTTCGCCTGCCATTCTCTACTTGAGCCTTAATCCTCTCTCTACCGAAATTTCGTAGTGGTCTGATTTTAAAATTGCCTTTTAAATAGCATGTTCCACCAAGTGACCCAGATACTGCCGTGTACGATTAACTTCCTCAAGCAGATTAAATGTGAAATAACAGACATCAAGTAAAAGACTTTGTGCTGTATGACAATCGTGCTCAAATGTTAAAGGGTGGTACTAGTGACGAATCGGCGAAGATATTAATTTTTGAGTATTTCTAGGTTTCAATTTATTTAGTTTTTAGAAATAATAATAATAAATTTATATTAATTATTATAAGATATCAGAAAATTTTGTAAAATATAATTTGTTTAAACCATATAAGTGAATAAAAAGCAATTTTTTAATGTTTTTATTTTTTACCGATTCGATTCATGTACATAGAATTGCCCGACCACATGATATTAATTGGTATCAATGGAAAGTTTTATTTTTCCGAATTTAGATATATACAGGTTCCTTTCACTTACGAAAGTTGCTGAACACTTCAATCGTCATTGAATCATGTTCAAAACGGCATTTGTCCGACCAAATTAAAGAGTCACCTCATTTCTGACGCATCAACCTTGACATTTCAATAAAGCACGCATTTAGATCGGTTAATTGTTTGGAAAAAAATTACGTGTAATCGGTTATCCCTTTATGAAATTCCGTAAGACCGAGCCGTGTGTGCTCTGTAAATATGCAATTTTTCAATTTGATGTCACTACCTGAGATGGTGACACCCGGTGCGGTCCGCACCCCCCTAGCTACGCCATTGTATGGAGGGGTGGGGATTTGGCTAAATGCTGAATCTTTTTCTGTAAAATTGGGGGGGGGGGGTGTTGAAAAATTTGGACCCACCCCTGCCCCTCTTTCTCCCTTGTCGTCATGGCCAACCCTCCAATCTTCCCAACATGCCTATTTTTTCCCCCCCCCCCCCCTGGAAAGTTAATTGATTTTTTTGCCCCCCCCCCCTAGAAAGTTTTCTACGGGCGCCCATGCCTGAATACTTTTTGAATCTTTGAGTTATTTTCATTTTGAAAATATTATTTTGTAGAATCAAGCGAAATCATCCCTCTACATGCACTCCAACACTTAAGTTTCCTCTAGAAAGAAAAAAAAAACGTTATCATTATATATATATATATATACATTACAGGCTCTTACTTATAGTCCGAGAATTTAAACAATAATTCCTCTGTAACCCTATGATGCTCAAAGCATTCTTGAGAAAAATGTCACCATAAAGGATAATATGCAGCGCATCTTTTTCATTGAGATCCCTCCTCATTAAGACATCAATGGAATTAATCAGATCCTAAATAAAATACATTTTATATGAGAAATCTTCAGCTATTTCATAAAGGAAATCACTACGCGAAATACACAAATAAAATACTACTTTTTAAAAGTTAAATAGACGAATAAAAGTATTTCACAGAATAATATGTATTAAATTAATTTAAATATATATATATATATATATATATATATAAATATATATATATATATATATATATATATATGTTCTTTAGGGCACATATATATTTTTTTATATAAGAT